CTCTCTCTCTCTCTCTCTCTCTCTCTCTCTCTCTTTTATTCATTACTGACCATTGCGTTTTACTTTCACTTTCTCTCTCTCTCTCTCTCTCTCTCACTTTCTTTTGCTCACTGATCTCACTTTCACTTTCACTGACTGGCGACGGACGATGCGAAAGGTTTTTAAGGCTCTTCAATGTCTGCCCTGGACAATCAGTCACTCAAGTTTGCCTTCATTGCTACTACTGTGCTCAAGTACCTGACACTTCCAAACAGCAAAACACCACCTCAAAGCTCAACTTCAACAACAATGCGTCTTCGTACAGCTTTCATGTTTCTGGCGGTGTTCGCCATCATCATCGCCTCCTTCCAGGTGGAGGCCGGCAAGAAGAAGAAGGTAATTTGAAGCCAAGTTTCATGATCAACTTCTATTTTTTAAACCATCATCACCATCATCATCACCAACATCTCACCGCATTTTTACTTATTTTTTTTATTTCTTCTTTCCCTTCTCCGGTGCCTCTTCCTATCACCACCATTAGATTAAGAAGATCATCATGAAGGCCTTGAACCACATTCCCAAGAAGAAGATCCTGATTCCCCTTCCGTAAGTCCTGCCTAAAAAATGCTATTTATTCGAACTTGCTCAAACTTTTTCCCCCCTTCCTTTTCTAACCCCGAACACTGTAGCCTGCCACTTCCGCTGCCCATTCCGGTGATTGTGAAGAAGCAGAAGATCTACATTCAGGAAAGTGTTCCTTATGCTGCACCAGCTTACGGTGGAGGTTGCGGAGGTGATGGTTACGGATGTGGCGGTGGTGGAGCTGTTGGAGGTGGTGGTTACGGAGGTGGCGGTGGTGGCTACTAAGAAGATAATTTGAAATATCTTTTGATCTTCAACGATTTTGCTCAAATGGATTCTACGACTCGGCTCATCTCTTATTTTTCACCTCATTCTCCATCACCTCCTCATCTTTTATATTCCCTTTCATCTCTCATCTTTTGTGTCGTCATTTTTTTCCCAACCACCTGTTGATCACTTCTGTCACCTCATTCTCTTTTGCTATACCTTTCTCTCTTTCTTTCTATTTTTTCCCTCTCATCTTGTCATGTACATAACTTTTTTGTATTCTTTTTGTCCTCTACTCGGTTTCTGAAACGGCCTGAGAATCCGTTTCACTGCCAGTGCCAAATCATCAGTCATTATTCTCGCCACCCCTCTTCTTTTCTGTTTGCATCTCATTTTTTCATTTTCACTTTCATTTCTCATTTTACCCCCGCACAGTGGCTGGTCCATTGTACAATCTTTTTTCTCTCTCTATGTTGTGTTTCATCTTGTCGTTTTGTTGTTTTTATTTTTTTTCTACTAGGAACTGTTCATTCATTTTATTCATTCATTTAATTTTCTAATACTCTATTTAAATTAATCAATAAAAAACAGCACGCTAGCACTGTTTTTCTTGAGAGTTTGAGAGTTGAAAGTCCGAGTCAGAGATGATAACGTAGTGTGACAAGTGATAGCAGTGAGAGAGAAAATGAGAGCAAAAGTGGTGCAAGTGGAGCATGCAAATCAGACTGGATGGCTTCAAGCTGCTCTTTGATCGTCAGATCATCAAGAGCAGCACTGGCTGTGCCTGTGCGGCTGTGTGTCACTGCCGGTAATGAGCAATGAGGAAGCCGCATCAACGGGCACACTTTTTTGTGCATCGTCATTGCCTGCCGTAAATTAGCGCCGACTACCTGGGCGCACACTTTTAATACTCTAAACACACTAAAAGTGCGTGAAAGTCAAAGTAGAGCAATAGCAGCATCAGCAGCAGCAGACAAAGGGGGAAAACATACGGCAGACCCTGCTGCTGTTGAAGCTTGAACAACAGTGCCACTTTTCGATATCTTAAGGGCATTTGCCGTAAAAGCGCATTTTGCATCATTTGGAAGGAAACAATGAAAGGATTGAATTACTTTAGATCTTGATCAGCAGCAGCAACATCTCTGATTTAAATCTAATTTGTTTGCTTTTATTAGGGCAAAAAGGAGTCGGCGGTAATTAGCGGCGACTTTTGCGGCGGTTGATCTTAAACTGAAAAAAATTAATTACCGGCAATTAATCCCCCGTTGGTGCTCGTGCACCACTGTCATTGCTGCTCACTTTTACTTATGATTTCAATGATCACTGCAAAATTTTTTACTCGAACAGGGAAAACACATAAAACACACTCTTTTTTTGCTAGTAGTAACGCGGAACTAGGCGACAGTGGACACAGTGCTAGTGCTGAAGACGATGCTCACATTTTGTGTACGACTTTTTTTGTCTGTTATCACCAACGCCATCGAACTGCGATTACCGGCGAAATGTGAGAAGGAGAAGGAGAAATCGCCGTCGAAAACGATGTCGAGAGGCGATGGATGCGACGGATGCGACGATATTTGGACGACTTATGGACTTTTTTCCTTCCCCTCATCTTCAAATCTAACTTCAAACACTGATAAAGAAAAGTGTGGGTCTTCACATGTCTGGGAGAAAAAGTAGTAGTGGTGGTGACTTTGGCATTAGCTGTCAAAAACTGCTGTCTTGTGTCTTGCCCAAGAGGCACAAATGGTGTCACTGCTGAGCATTTTGAGCAGTTAATGATCACAATCATCATCATCAGCTGTAATCATCACCATCATTTGTAAAAAGTGCGCCTAAAAACCTCTTTAATTGGCACGCTTTTTTGTTAATAATCTTTTTATTTATTATTTAGTGCGCAGTTGAGCGATTTTAGCCTGAAAATTGATGATTTTTTCGCTTCGGATCATTTGGTTCTCCTTTGCGTCGTTCAAAAGCATCACAACATCTGTGCACCGGCAACAACCACTTTTGCAACAGCAGCAGCAGCAGCAGCAGCAACGACGGCGGCGGTGTAAACAAAACAATCGAAACGACGGCGCACGCTTTTTCTCTCAAATTCCATTCATTCTTTTCTGGTGAAATTCTTGAGATTCTGTATAGGTTCAAGTCCGGGGAATTCCAGCAGAAGCCTTATAAAGAAGCCTTATAAGATGGTCCACCCCTCCTCTGATGGAGGTGACAATGTCACCAACAGTTCTGGCAGCCCACAGCTCACCGATGGAGTTCCACTGGCGGCTACAAATGAAGGCGCTGATAATGCTGCTGCTGCTGCTGCTGACGTCGATGTACCACCAGCAGATGAGATTCGACCGTACGATCACCTGATCAACGAGGAGGCGGACACTGATCTCTTCAACAAGGTATTATCTCGTCTTGTTCTTCTTCGTTTAATGTCCATCCTAATCTTCTCTCTCCTTTTTTCATAAACGCTCCCAAACATTTTGGAACCCGGTCAAAAACCCGGTTTGGTTTGGTTTGTAGACCTTCCCGGGCGACGCTGCCATCGATGATGATGATGATGCTGACATCAAAGCTACTGCAGCAGCAGCTGACACTACTGGCAAGCATGCCGCTGATAAAAGGTAAAAAAGTTACTTTATTTTACTTTTTTAGTTCTATTTTCAATTGCCGTCAGTGACAGTGACAACTGTGTCATCTTCTCTGGTTGCCTCACATTTTCATTACTCAGTTTCTAAATCCTCAATGTCAAACAAATTCACCCTTTTCCCACCTTCTTTCTCCAACAGAACCGGCTTCGTCCACTTCGACAGCAACGTCGACCACTTCTGCCTGTGGGATGAGAAGTACGAAGAGACTCCCAGACGATACAGCCGTACACTGGAGCGAATGAAGGAGCTGGAGCTGATTGACCGTTGTCAACTGATCGAGGTAATCGTGTTTCGAAAATGATAAAATTCGGTTCTGATTCTCTGAATTTTCTGAGCAGCCTCGACGAGCCACCGAAGCCGAGGTCCTTCTGGTCCACACGCCCGAGTACCTCGCGAAGGTCGCCTCCATCACCAGCCTCATCGACCCGGCTCGCCTGGAGGAGGAGTCCTCGAAGTTCGACGCCGTCTACTTCAACCCGAACACCTTGGAGGCGGCCTTTACAGCCGCCGGCAGCGCCATAGAACTCGCCGAGGCGGTCTACACGGGCCAGGTTCGAAATGGCTTTGCCCTGGTCCGCCCACCAGGGCACCACGCGATGGCCGCCGAGGCCTGCGGCTACTGCGTCTTCAACAACGTCGCCATAGCGGCGAAGGCGCTGCTTCAAAAATTCGAAGCCAGCGGCCTCCAGCGAATCCTCATCGTCGACTGGGACGTCCACCATGGGCAGGCCACCCAGCAAGCGTTTTACAACGACCCTCGCGTCCTCTACGCCTCCATCCACCGCTACGAGCTGGGCGCCTTCTGGCCGGAGCTGATAGAGTCGAACTACAATTTCACCGGTGAGGGCGCCGGCCGGCGGTACAACGTCAACGTTCCGCTGAACGACACCGGCCTCTGCGATTCCGACTACCTCGCCATCTGGCACAACCTCCTCCTGCCGATCTTCTACGAATACAATCCGCAGCTGGTGCTCGTCTCCGCCGGTTATGATGCTGGTGAGTTGGAAATCTTCGAAATTGAGAGTTTTTAACTCCTCTTTTTCCTCATTTTTCCCTTAGCCATCGGCTGCCCCGAGGGCGAGATGCTCCTCTCGCCCTCCTTCTACGCCCACGTCACGCACTCTCTGAAGGGGCTGGCCAACGGGAAGGTGGTCGTCGTCCTTGAGGGCGGCTACTGCATTGAATCACTAGCGGACGGGGCCGCCTACACGCTGCGCTCCCTGCTCGGCGACCCCCCGGTTCCGGTGAAGATGAGATATCCTCTAAATGATACCGTGGTGGACTCTATCCTCGATGTCATCTCCGTCCACCGACCTCACTGGGCGATGCTACGCCTTCAGCGGACCTTTAATCGTCATGAACCCCAAGAAGAGGGCTTTGTGGACCTGGAGGAGAATCCCCGGAGAAGACACCTGCCGATGATTGAGTACCGAGGGCAGGTGGAGCTGCTGCCGGAAAGGCCTAGCTCCTATCCCACCCGGGACTGCTACCCGGTGCAGGCGGAGCACGTGCGGGCCAAGTACGCGAATGCCATTGAGATTCTGCGGGCAAATGCCGATGCTCAGTACGCCAGTACTTCCGGTTCCGGTTCTGGCTGCGGATCAAGCGGCAAGCGGACCGCCTTCATTCGAATGGCGCAGAGCGAGAGCCGCCGCCACCGCCGGCCCTTCCCCGCCCACCCGGAGCGGCCCACGCGCATTAGCTTCCTCGCCAAGTCCCTCGCGGCCTACGAGGGCGGGCGGCTGCTGGCGCGGCTGCACCACCTGGAGAGCGGGGGTCGGCTGGCCGAGGAGGAGGCGGAGCTTCGCCTCGCCCACTCGCCGGAGGCGCTGGAGGCGGTCCGCCGGAGCGCCCTCTACGCCGGCCGGGAGAACTACGAGAAGCTGCGCGCGTATGAGCGCCTCTTTGACTCTGTTTACTTTACTGCGGAATCCTACCAGGTGGCGCGGCTGGCCGCCGGATCGGTTCTTCAGGTGGTGGACGCGGTGCTGGGCGAGGGGGCGTGTCTGAACGGCTTTGCAGCGGTCCGCCCACCGGGCCACCATGCGAGCCGCGACCGGCCCGCCGGCTTTTGCCTGTTCAACAATGTCGCAATAGCCGCCCGGTATGCGCTGAAGAAGTACTCGAAAACGGTGAAAAGAGTTTTGATCCTCGACTGGGACGTCCACCATGGGGACGGGACGCAGGACATTGTGGCGGGCGATGAGCGGATGCTCTTTGTCTCGCTGCATCGATATGACCAGGCGGTCTTCTACCCGGAGAAGATGGCCGCCAACTACAATATCGGGCGGAATGTGGTGAACATTCCGTGGAGCGGCGGGCCGATGGGCGACCGAGAGTACCTGGCGGCCTTTTGTAATGTTGTCCTGCCGGTGGCTTATAATTTTAATCCGGATTTGGTGTTGGTCAGTGCCGGGTTTGATGCGGCGATTGGTAAGTGCTTTGTGGGAGTTTTTTGAAAGGTTTTTTTATTTTTTTTTAATTTTTTATTAGGTGATCCTCTTGGAGAGTACTGCCTCTCGCCGAACGCCTACGGCCAGATGACGCACATGTTGGGGGCGTTGGCCAATGGGAGGATGATACTGACGTTGGAGGTAAGAGGAAAAGGAGTTTTTGAAAAATTTTTTAAACTTTTTTTGTATTTTTCTAGGGAGGCTACTCCCTCAAGGCGATTGCCGACTCTGCACTGGAGTGCATCAAGGTGCTGCTTGGCGAGCCCCCGGGAGCGCTTTCTCTTTTTAATGATTCGGAGGAGAAAAAATGTGATGGTCCGGCTAGTCCTGCAAGCTCAACTGATTCTGGCGGAAATGAAAACATCAGAAGCAACAGCTCCTCTTCAATTCAACTCAACGAGTGCGCCATTGAGACGCTGCGAAATGTAATTGGCTACCACAGCTCCCACTGGCCCTCACTCGCCCTCAACGTGGACATTCCCGAGACCAAGCTGTAATTGCGGAGGGAGATCATTTTTTTCCCCACTTTTTTACCTTCAAATCTATCTAGCTAGCTAATGAATTCTTTTATACACATCACTTCTACTACTATTNCCTCAACGTGGACATTCCCGAGACCAAGCTGTAATTGCGGAGGGAGATCATTTTTTTCCCCACTTTTTTACCTTCAAATCTATCTAGCTAGCTAATGAATTCTTTTATACACATCACTTCTACTACTATTTTTATAACAAGCTTTAATTTTTTTACAGAAAAAAATCCTAAAGAGTGGTCTTATCACAGGGTGGTTTGGAAACGGAGTTTGAAGATGAGGATGAGATGTCTTAGCTAAGCGATAGATTTTTGCTGTCGTACATTTTCAAGAAAGCTTTGTACAGCCTTCACCAGTTCATCCCCGGCAGCGACAATGTTCTTATGCCCGAAATGCCTCTCCTTAGGAAAGGAGATAAAGCTGGGCCTCAACTGTACAGAAGAGGGCTGATCTTGAAGGGCAATGTTGTACAACTTTCGCCCCAAACTGTACGGCACAATGCGATCATCCTCGGCGTGAAAAAACAAAAGTGGAGTGCTGACGCGGGACATCAGCACGGAGGAGTCAAAGTTGAGGTGATGGTTTCCCACTAAAGGTTCCAAGAAGCAGGCATTAAAATG